ACCAGCCGACTACCGTAATCCCCGCCCACGAGTACGTGCAGTCCTATGGACTCCCCAAAGAAGATTACGGTATCCAGGGACAGCACGATATTTTGGCCACCACCGTAATCCCCGTAGCCTCGCGGAATCTTGGACTGCAAACTACGTCGAATACCGTATACCCCGGAGTGTCTCGGAATCTTGGACTACAAAGTACCGTATACCCTGGAGCGTCCAATTCTGGGCTACAAACCACAACTAATACGGTATACCCCGGAGCGTCGCGGAATGCCGAAACCTACCGTACGCCGATTTCTGGCAGTATCGACCCGAGCTTTCCAAATCCACAGCAAAAAATGTCCATCGCCAACTTCAACGCCCCTTTAAATCGGCAGACTACAGGCTACGGACTACAAAAATCGATTCCGCAAAGCTACGGACTGCCGCCGGCACCGATTAATACAGGTAAATTCCTCAAAGAATCTGTGCTAGCCTGCCCTCCTCTCGGGGTCCGTCCATTTCCTCAAACAATCTCTGCTAGCCTGCCCTCCTCTCGGGGTCCGTCCATTTCCTCCTCCAATCTCTGCTAGCCTGCCCTCCTCTCGGGGTCCGTCCATTTCCTCCTCCAATCTCTGGTAGCCTGCCCTCCTCTCGGGGTCCGTCCATTTCCTCTTCCAATCTCTGCTAGCCTGCCCTCCTCTCGGGGTCCGTCCATTTCCTCAAACAATCTCTGCTAGCCTGCCCTCCTCTCGGGGTCCGTCCATTTCCTCAAACAATCTCTGCTAGCCTGCCCTCCTCTCGGGGTCCGTCCATTTCCTCAAACAATCTCTGCTAGCCTGCCCTCCTCTCGGGGTCCGTCCATTTCCTCAAACAATTCCTGCTAGCCTGCCCCAAACTCGTATTTTAAGGTATCTCATCATCCTATGGTGCTTCTCATGATAACTCAGCTTCCCTCCCGGCCCGTAATCCATACGTCGGAGGCTACGCAGCAACTTACGGATCGCCATACGGTAACTACGGTAGCAGCCAGACGGTGGCCACCACGCCGTCTCCGCTACACTTGGCTTCTCTGTACAGCCTGAGACCGGAGGAGGTGTACACAAGGTGGGCTTTTAGCATTTATTTGTAGCCTGTCACCACCGTATGAAAAAACCAGTAATTAAGGGAAGCTGTTTATGCTCTGAACCGCTTTCCTGAATGAAACAATTATTTCGCCAATTAAAACGGTATACGAAAGGAATTATTGCGTAGAGAACAAGTTTGGCTAATTTTTGGTAAAGGTGACTTAACGGGGGGGAGGAGAAATAACGGGGGTAAAGATTCGAGGGCATAGTCGTAATCGATCTCCTAAATTGCAGAATTATTCCAGGCAGCTATTAAAAAATTATGTTTTGTGAAATTACATTACCTGAGTCATTTTAATAATTTTAATAAATTTAACATGTTGAAATAATACTTTTTCAGGGCTGGTTCTTCGCAAAATTACTTTAGGCTGTTGTTGAAAATTACTGTTTCATTTCCTAATTGATTAAAAGAAACGCAATGCGCAATTAATCTTGGATTTGATTTATCCCTATGTGTCGTTTTTTACAAATCATGGCTGGCCCGGCGACGCCTTGGCTACTTTTAGAAAAAAATGTTTTGTCTAATTACCTCAAATAATTGATTTCCATAGCCCTTAATGATCCTCTTTTGTGTCGTTCCCATTGCTTCAGATTTCAATATGTCTGGTAGGCCAGCGAAAAATATGTGTTTCTTTAAAACGAATGGATCCTTCAATTCATACGGTATTAATCCAGTGCATTCTTTGTTATGAAAATCAGTAGTCAAGGTTCAGTTTTTATTGTATTACCACTTAAAAAATGGTTACATTTTAATTAAAAGGCTCATCAAAATACGTACTACGTTACCAAAAATGACTAATAGCTAAAAAGTTGCCCCCCCCCCAATAATGCGAAAGAACCTATTTTTCGAATTAGAACGTTTGAAAATCTATTTCAAGTCGCGTCTTTAAAAAAAGATGTTTTGACCAACTGGATAACATAATTAATTTTGATGGCCCTTAATAGATCGTCCATCATCATATTTTGCCTCGCATCCTTCCAAATTATAATCATAAATCCTGTTTCTTTTTTGCCTAATCATAATCTGGAAATTAGTTTCGGCCGACGATTTAAACAACGATGTTTTGACTAAAAGCATCAAATAATCAATTTTAAAGGCCTTAATAATAATGCGATGTTACTGATCCTAACAATTCCGGCAAACCAGTGAAAAATCTGTGTTTCTTGAAAACGCATTGATCCCTGAATTAAAATAGTATTTAATGGGTGGGTTGTCAGTATGAAAATCATTAATTCAGGATCACAAAAGTACCCTTAGTTCCACTTAAATGCATTCGGATTTTACCAAAACTCGCGCAAAAAAACTTACTGTCACATTACTGGGCATTCCTGGACTTATAGTGAAATGTTGGGCCCCCCCGATAATGCGAAAGAAACTACTTTTCAAATTAGGAATTTCGAAAGGCTAATCCGGTCGGAGCTTTAAAAAAAATGTTTTGACTAACTGTATAACATAGTTGATTTTGATAGGCCGTAATTCCTTAGCTATTCATCTTTTTCACATATTCACAGTCATATCCTCAGAATGTTAAAAGTCGGCGGAGCCTTTCATTAATTAACGTTTCATTGAATTAGATGGTTGCCAAACTTAATTGGGCGGTAATTTCTCGTCAATGCATGATTTAAAATTCAATCAATGCTAGGAAGTAATGGATAATTGGCGCACAGAATTTGCCTCGCATCCGTCCAGTTTTTGATCATAAAATTTGTTTCTATTTTGCAAATTCAGAAACGGGTAAATCAATTACGGTCCACGCTTTAAAAAAATATGTTTGTACTAATTCGATCAAATAATTAAACTTAGAGGCTTTAATAATATTTTCTGTTTTTTTTCGGTAATGCTCGTTCCTTCAGAGCTTACTAGAACAGATAGGCCAGCAAATAAATGTTTGTTTCTTTAAAACGGATGGGTCCTTGAATTCATACGGTAATTAATACAGGGCATTTGATGAGTTGATAATTATTAAGTCAGGTCGATTTTGTATCGTATTTCTAGTCATAATAGAGTGAAATTTTGTTAAAAAGCCTCTAAAAACTTACCATTACGTGACCAAACAGACTTATAGAGAAAAAGTTGCCCCCGATAATGGGAAAGAACTTATATTTCAAAACAGGGAACATGAAAACAACAACCATTTAGGTTTTTTTTTGAAAAAAGATGTTTTGTGTAATCGCATAAAACAATTATTTTTACATGTCTTTAATTCCTTTTGGTCCATAAATGCGCGTCCCAGAGATTAGTCAGTTGGTTAGGGCTCTTAAAAATCAATGTTTCCGTGAATTAAATTGTAGACTGCATTGAGCTGGCTGTAATTTTACCGTGTGCACGCTTCGAAAAATGTAATCGTTGAAAAAGTAAGTAAGGAAAGAAAGTAGGAAAAGAATCGCGCCGAAAAAATTACTAAATTTGATTATTTATAGTTGGCAGATTATTTTTAAAACGGTCGTAATAAATAAATTCAGGCCCAGCAACCTACCTCGTATCAACCAAAAACGACCGCGGCTGGATTGGTGGAAATTAGCACGGATTTGCCGGCGGCTACGGTAGCCGGCAGTAGCTACGGGACAAGCCTATCGACGGGTGGAGTCAGTACGGTAAGCTTTTTGGTTAGATTCTTGTTAAAAAAAGCCATGTTAAAGTATCCAGGTTTCCTGCCAAGCGGTCACAAAAAATGTTTCTAAATTATGCGAGTCAATGTAGGCTCGAAGGAAGTTAATCCGTCGACGCAATTCTCGCCATTCATATTGACAAATTCTACAAAAATACCATAGGTTTTATATGTGACAGATTCCTAGGTTTTTGACGGTATGTTAGGAGTACGGAATACAAAAAACAAATTAACCAAAATTCCGGCATTAAAAAGCCCATAAACGCCATGAATTTCCCAAAAAAAAAATTATGTTTCTGATTTTTACGAGTTTATTTATAGGCTTAGGCTTAAGATTTGACTTGGTCTTAACTTCAAACATAATCTTTGCAACTTCTATAACCTGCCTCTTTCAGAGCACCGTAGCGGCAAGCACCGTAACATCCAGCCCGTTTACCGTATACTCGGCCACGCCCACCCCGCTTACGACTACGACGGACTACACACTACAAACGCTAACCCCAGCCGTTACGCAAAGTGGAGAGGCCATCGGCAGATTGACAGCCCTCCAACTTGATGAGACAAGGAGGAAAATTATGAAATTCATGAAGAATTGAGATTTTGATGATTTTGCATTTAATGATGGCTGTAAATAAATGATACCTTGGGATTGCAAGAGAAATGACAAAATAATTAAGCGAGCTTGCAGAGATTGTTTGTGGAAATGGGCGGACCCCGAGAGGAGGGCAGGCTAGCAGAGATTGTTTGAGGAAATGGACGGACCCCGAGAGGAGGGCAGGCTAGCAGAGATTGTTTGAGGAAATGGACGGACCCCGAGAGGAGGGCAGGCTAGCAGAGATTGTTTGAGGAAATGGACGGACCCCGAGAGGAGGGCAGGCTAGCAGAGATTGAGGAGGAAATGGACGGACCCCGAGAGGAGGGCAGGCTAGCAAAGATTGGAGGAGGAAATGGACGGTCCCCGAGAGGAGGGCAGGCTAGCAGAGATTGTTTGAGGAAATGGACGGACCCCGAGAGGAGGGCAGGCTAGCAGAGATTGGAGGAGGAAATGGACGGACCCCGAGAGGAGGGCAGGCTAGCAGAGATTGGAGGAGGAAATGGACGGACCCCGAGAGGAGGGCAGGCTAGCAGAGATTGTTTGAGGAAATGGACGGACCCCGAGAGGAGGGCAGGCTAGCAGAGATTGTTTGAGGAAACTGACAAGATTTGAATCCCGCTAATTTCCTTCTGGCAACATTCCTGCTCTCCCGCGAAGAAATATGTTTTGTCATTTTTCATTCCTGCGCGAAAAATGCTGGTCGGAATGCGGCCCTCTATCTTCACCCCTGTATTCTTGCTACTTCTCTCCGATCAAGGTATTGGTAGTTTTATGCACCTTTTAACGCCGTTTTTTTAGTATATGAGGACATTCAGTTGAGTGAGAATTATAATATTTATGATTTTTACACCTATTTTAGTTCCCGTCGCCGGGCAGCTTCAAAATGCTACCGTCGACCCTGATGATGGCGCGGAAAATTCCACCCTCAACGTGCCACAACCGCTCTATCGTCATCTGAAGGCTGACAAGGATGGTACTGTCGTCTTAAAATATTTATAGCTTTAAGAAGAGAGAGTGATAGAGAGAGCGAGAGAGATAGAGAGAGAGAGAGAGAGAGAGAGAGAGAGAGAGAGAGAGAGAGAGAGAGAGAGGAGAGAGGAGAGAGGAGAGAGATTGAGCGAGAGATCGAGAGAGAGTGAGAAAGAGAGAGAAAAACAGATAGAGGAGAGAGAGTGAGTGAGAGAGTGAGTGAGTGAGAGAGATAGAAACAGATAGAGTGAGAGAGAGGGAGAGTGAGAAACAGATAGAGTGAGAGAGAGTGAGAAAGAGGAGAGAGTGATAAAGAGAGAAAGAGAGAGGGAGAGAGAGAGAGAGAGAGAGAGAGAGAGAGAGAGAGAGAGAAAGAGAGAGAAAGGAGAGAGGCGCCGCTATCGAAAATTTTCTATGTTTCAGCGGTGTTGGGCTGTCCGGCGTCCGGTGATCGTCACACTGTACCCAATCCCGACTGCAACCTGATCGGCCCATTTCCGAAGGGGCAACGGTTCTTCAGCGAGCACATCTCACCGACTTACTTCAATTACGGTAAAAGTTAAAAATATACCTTAAAAAACAAATTGTTTTTAGTCTGCCCTGCCGGCCAAATTTTCTGCATGGAAATGAACGGTCGTGGGCTGGTAGACGGTGATGTGGGCTGCTACTCACCACAATTGACCACTTCAAACGATGACTGTCGATGCAGTGGGTGTCATGCTCCCTTTAGCATGGTTCTTGACTGTTAGCGGGGGGTGGGGTGAGGCCAGTTTTGCCAGTGATCGCGTACAGCCCTATATCGGAATGGAAGCCATGTTTATGGCCTTTTACATGTTTTTAAAGATAAGCATAGAATAAAAATTTACGAAAACGAGTTTTTGGTCAAAAATGTATGAAAAATGGCCAATACACGTCAAATTTTCGAATTGCCGAAATGGTTAAAAATCTTTTTTATAACTTGCTAGCAATCAAGAACTACTAAAAACACTATAAAATACATCATACATACTTTACGGATAGGTTTAGATTGCAAAATAAAAAGTGATACCCCCCGCTAACAGCCCAGGACCTTTAAAATTACGCCCAATCTTCTTTTCTACGACTATTCGTGGTAAAATCGCGCTGATAGCGCTTTTTTGCGAAACACACTTTCATCGTCCTGCTGTTTTTCAAACAAAGTTTTTTTCAATTAATTCTCATTATAAGGTTCTAGCAAACCAACGGGGGTACATAAATACAATCAAATTATACAAATAGTTGATTTCCGAGAAAAGAGAGCCTCAGCAGATTTGCACGCTATGGGTCAGTTAGTCCGGCATGAAAATTTTCAACGGGATTAAATTTCGACGAAACATATTGCTGATACCCTTTCTTTCGATTTTTTTAACGCTTTTTAATCGATTTCTCCTGGAAAATCTGAAGGGTTCTACTACTAATTTTGAAAACCTTACTAAAATCCTCGACTTTTTACGAGTGCCCTTAACAAACTATCTATGGCAAAACCACGCAGCTTGCTCTGTTTTGTGAAACACAGTTCTTTCATCATGCAGCGTCCCAAAAAAGCATATTTTATGGTTTTTACAGAGACGTTTTCTGGTAGAGGGATTGGCAAAATTAGTAAATCAACAAACCTGTTTCCTCAAAAAACACTCAATCCTGGATTCAAAATTTTTATCACGTTAATTTTTGCCGAAACACTTTTTTTTCTGCAAGACCTTCAATCTTTTCTAGCGCTCTTAATCTGAAAAATTTCCAAGAACCCTACTTTTGATTTAAAAACTTTAAGAAAAATTTATATAGCAAAAATGTAGCTTCTGCCGCAAATGGAAAAACCTAAATTTTTCAGCCGAACTCAAGCCCAACCAACACTCCCGGATTGCTGGCCCCCGTCAGCACCGGATTATTGACACACTACCGCGCGCTTTCTCTACTCTTCGTGAGTCACAATTTCCTAAAGAATCTCCGCTAGCCTACCCTTAGTTACTAATTTAAGTGGCCTATTTTCCACGCTATTTTTTTCAGGGGCGAGGCAAATGCGGCGCGGCTGCGCAGTTTGAGAGTAGACCCGTGGCTACTACGGAGGTAATTGACTTTTTCGATTTTTCGACTTCTTTAATTTAATTTTGAGTTTCAGACGACCACCACAGCCACCACGCCGTCTACCACACCATCTACCACTGCCTCAACTACCACCGCGACGACGACCTCAAGGCCTCAGCCAGCAAATGAACCGGCAGTTACCAAGGGTAGGTTAGGATTTTCCTAAAGGATCTCTGCTAGCCTGCCCTCCTCTCGGGGTCCGTCCATTTCCTCAAACAATCTCTGCTAGCCTGCCCTCCTCTCGGGGTCCGTCCATTTCCTCAAACAATCTCTGCTAGCCTGCCCTCCTCTCGGGGTCCCGTCCATTTCCTCCTCCAATCTCTGCTAGCCTGCCCTCCTCTCGGGGTCCGTCCATTTCCTCAAACAATCTCTGCTAGCCTGCCCTCCTCTCGGGGTCCGTCCATTTCCTCCTCCAATCTCTGCTAGCCTGCCCTCCTCTCGGGGTCCGTCCATTTCCTCAAACAATCTCTGCTAGCCTGCCCTCCTCTCGGGGTCCGTCCATTTCCTCAAACAATCTCTGCTAGCCTGCCCTCCTCTCGGGGTCCGTCCATTTCCTCAAACAATCTCTGCTAGCCTGCCCTCCTCGGCAATCTAGCAGAAATCATTTCAGGCTCTATCATCTGCCCGGCCGACGGCTACCCGTGGACCCACAGTAACCCGGACTGCCACGCATCCACCAAGCGCATCGACCCGACCCGCGTCTTTTTCGGGGAACAGGCCAACGCTACGGTGTACTACGGTATGTACGTTTCGTCTTAGGCTTAGACTTGTGCTTCGGGTATTTTTGCGTAAATGGAAATTTTGTGTTTTAAAGGGACTCGCAAGGCAGGCCTGTGGATTCCGCCCGATTCCGATCTGGCCAAACTTAGCTTGAAAAATTCCATGAAAATTCCATCCGAATCTGGACGGCTATAAAAGCACTTTGTACTTCCCCCCCCCCGCTAATGCAAAAGATCCGGAAAACCCGATCCACAAGTTCTAAGGAAAATTCCGTCTTTCTAGGACCGTTAAAGGCCCATTTAAGTCATGATTCACCTGACGCAATATCCATAAAACAAAAAGAACCCATTTAGCCTGCGCCGAGGGGTACGGTATTCTGCGCGGGCGTATACGAGACTGTGCCGAATATCCCCGGTGCGCCTTCAAGACTTCCTGTCCCCTCCGATGCTGCTAATGCTGCTACCGTACGCCGGCTGCTACCGTAACTCGAGCGTGGCCGCGCCGGCGAACCGATGCAAATGCTGTGGGTTTTTGTGGGATACGGTAGCTCCGGTGGGGTACGGTAGTGACGTTCTTACGTTTGCGGGGTGGAGCGTAGCGTACTGCTTTTTCATGACTGTTTTTCAGCAGCGCATGCGTCGAATTTCACAGCCGAGACGTCGCTCGTCTACACGGTCAGCGCCGAGCTCGAGGAGTTGCAGGGGCAGCTGTGGAATGTAAAATATTCTAAGACATTTTAATTTAGAAAAGCACAGATAGGAAGACGTTAAAAAGCGTTAATTCATCTCGACAAATTGATAAATGGGTTCTTGTGCATTACCGGGGGCGGAGATTTATGATTTTTTGGACCGATTCGATCTATTTTTGGAATCTAATAATGCCTCGTAAGTGAATAGGGAAATATTTTTGTATTATTTTTAGTTAAATGTAGCTCTGTTTTCATTGAAAAACTTTCGAAATTCTAAAAAACGGTCATTTTGGTCGAAAAATTTATATTTTTTGTCTTTTTTTTAAAGTAGTTTTTAGTAAGTAAAAAAACAGTTTACAAACACTGGGATATTTATATTTCAAAAATTTTATTCAAATAAGACCAAAAAGGTCAGAAAGGCGTTTCATAAAAATGAGTGTTTCCCTTTTCTAAACCGCCTCTTGCCGAGTTGTGGCGTCAATTTCTCTGCGTTCAGTAGTCGCAAACTAAAGTTCAATACAAAAATTCTAAACTCCTTAATTCCAGGGAAGCATGCGAACGTGTCGCGGGCTCGATGCTGACGCGTTGCGGCCGCGTCACGCCACGCTCCGGGTCTATGAGGTAGCCGTTGCGTTGGTAATCAAAATTATGTTTCGCACAAGATACGCCATAATGCGAAAAAATCGCTGTTACTTAAAATATTTATTCATTGTATTTCACTAACAAGGAGTCGTCTTTAGGTGATATTCGAGTTTTGAGCGAGACCTAGCTAGTTCGATAGAGAAAAAATTCTGAGCAAGATCTCGTTTTCCAAATCTACTAACCGTGTATTGTATTCGATAAAAAATTAATTTGAAAATCATTAATTTCGCCATCATTTCTCACATGATCCGCAGTTTTGGCTCGGGGTGTGCGCGTGAACATAGCGCCCTTCGGACCCTTGAACCACCATGATCACGTGGCATATTGGTAGTGCACTTGGTTCATAATTTTTATCTTTTTTTTTGCTTTCGGGTTCGACCCCTAGCTAGTGAAACTCTTTTGCTTTTTTGCTCTGTGATGCCAAATATGACCTCAATAGCGTTAAAAACCAAAAAGCAAAACAGCTAATCAAAAAAAGTTCCGAACCCCCGAGCATAAATTTGCAAAAGTTTGATAGGCGCCTGCACTATCCACTAGGCCACCATCTCATGCGTATGCTGGTTCGCGTTGCGGTCTATGTCCCGGGCCTGATCTATCTGTGGCAGCGTGGCGCCACAGAATTTTTTCATTAAAATTAATTTTTATTGAATACAGTACACCGTTAGCAGATTTGAAAACGTAGCAAACTCCAATATCACCTAAAAACGACCCCTTGTAAGAAACTAAAATTTGTATTACAAACTAATTAAAATTTTTCAGCGCTACACTCGTTCCTCCGCCGCCACCACCAACGTCATCTACTCGCAGCTGATCACCATCGTTTGCCTCTACGTCTCCATTTCTCTGCGCTCTCTCGCTCTCTAGCCTCTCTCTCGCTTCCGTATTTCTTTTGGCTCGTCGCCTTGTGATTTTCATCGTGCTTTTTTGCGAAAATAAATCTGAGAAAAACCCACAATTTCCTCAAACAATCTCTGCTAGCCTGCCCTCCTCTCGGGGTTCCGGCCATTAAATTTATTAAATTTCATTAAGTTTTCCATATAAATTTCATGAAGGTTCATGTCGGTGAAGCATTTCTTATAAATCAAAAATATGGAGTGAATTTTTCACAATAAAGCCACCAAAAAATCGGAGCGTATAAATGTAGTTGTATGTATTGTAGTTTAAATGTATAATTGGTTTCTGACAATGTAGTCCACGGCATGCTCGAAGCTCATGCGGTGCATAGCGATTAGGGGAGAATACGGCTAAATAAATCGATAATTTGCGAACGTTCAACAATGATACATAAATAACAAAAAACGAGGTGTAAATGATTAATTAAAAACTAAAAATAAATGAGTAATCAGTAATTTTTAAAAAATTGTGTTGGGTTTGAGATGAAACCATAATTTTCTCGAACAATCAGGATTCCTAGCAAAATTTTATTTATTCGAAAATAGTATAGTGTTGTAATATTATGTAAAGAAGGTACCGAATAATAATAATGTAATGTCAATAAATAAGGCTAAACTATTACGCAAAGACATTAATTAGTAGCTCCAACAAATTATCGTGCAAAATGATGAACAGATTTTTCAAAACTTCAAAATTTTCGGGATGTAAGATGTTACGATTTTTTACAAAGAAGCTGGCTTCACAAGATTTTTTCTTCTATGGAAAAATATAAGGGACTTTTTCTCACTAAAACCCCAAAAAACCGGAGCGTATAAGGGTCTTGGTGTCGACAATGTAGTCCACCATATGCTCGTGGCTGATGAGTTTCATGGCCACTCGGGGCAAACCGCTAAATAAATGCATAATTTGAAGACGTCCAACAGCACTACATAAATCACAAAAAACGAGGTGAAAACGATGAGTTAAAAACTAAAAATAAATGAGTAATTTGGACGATCTATTCAACAAAATAGATTGTGACTGTCAAGGAATCTTGGAGTAACTGATTTTTTTAAAAATTGTGTCGAGTTTGAGATGAAACACTAATTTCCTCAAACAATCACTGGGATGACCTAGGTACATTTTATTTGTCCGCACAGAGTATAGTGTTGTAATATTATGGAATAGAACATAGTATAATTATGTAATAAATATAGTTACTATAGTAATGTATTGTATTGTCAATAAATCGGACTATATAAACTCGTACAGGCATTAAACAGTAACTAAAACAAATAATCGTGCAAAATTATGAAACACATTTTTTGAAAATTTCAGGATTTTAGCGATGTAAACGTTTTGATCTTTTAAAAAGAAAACGATTTCACAAAACTTTTTTAGAAATAGAAATATAAGCGAATTTTTTCAGAATAAAACCCACAAAAAACGGGGGTAAAAGGGTGCTGGTTTCGACAATGCAGTCCACCATATGCTCGTGGTTAATGAGTTTCATGGCCACTTGGGGGCAACCGGCTAAATAAATCGATAATTTTAATTTTTTAAGAGTTGAAACGAGAAACTAAATTAAAAATGGAAGATAAAGAAGAAATTTCCGGGCTCGATCGAAAAAAATTAGGTTTTGAGCGACACAATCCCGCATAAAAATTGTGTCGTGTTTGAGATGAAACACTAATTTTTCAAAGAATCTTTGCGAGCCGCCTAGAAAATACTTATTTATTCGGAAAGAGTTGTATCGTGCTGTAGTCTGTGGTCATCCACGGAATTTGCAGCGATGTCGACTGGATGCCAGGTTGTTGCAAGACGTCACACTGAAAATTGGGACGTTGCTGGCACGCTCCCTTTAAAGTGGCGGTTAAGGCCTGGGACCTGGACTATGGATATTGAAGAATAAAGCATAGTGAAATCACCTTTGCTTGGAGAGCCCCATTTTGCCGGTGAAGCTCCCGGATCTGCTCCTCCATATCGGCAATTTTCTTGGTTTTTCTCCTCCACCTCGCGCTCCAGCGCCTCTTTTCGACGCTTCAGATCATCGCTCAGATTCTGAAGTCGGGGCACCTCGTCGCGCATCCAAAATTTCATTTTTCTTGGTGTCACC